GAAACTATAAGGTGGAGTGGATTCCAGTGTGTGTGATTACAGTAATAAGAGAGCAGCTCCTCGCTGTCATTATGTGTTCAACAATGACGCAACGTGTCGGACCTTCTTAGAAAAGAACAAATCACAGCCTGTTTGAGGCGCTTTACGACACATACTGAGAAAATCTGCAGGTCTACAAAATACAGGAATTTTATTCATTTAGTTCCAAAGGGGAGTTGACTTAAACAGTTTGAGTGATTTTGTTTTAGGGCCTCTGCTAACAGGACTGAGCACAGGTTTCCCACTTTTCCAGGAGTTTTCTTGACAATACAGGACAAAAAGTCATTTAATTTGCCAGTAGGCCCAGTATTCAAACAGCAACCCCCCAGTGCCCTTTTTAAAGAGAAAATATATATTATTAAACAAATTATAACACATCCTACATATTCCACAGGGTACATGTTGACTAACCAATTGCCTAACTTAACTACTTACCCTTTAAAATCTACTAAAATACAGTTTAATTCCTCACCAGTGATCATTATCTCCTCTCTGTGTGGGTTGTGTTTTTAGGTTGGATGTCTGAGTTTACTGTTATGTAACAGAGGCAGTTCCCGATGTGGAGCTAAAGGTTCGTGTTCCTGTCAGAGTTTTACAACACTGGAACGTGAAATGAGCGGGCGGTGTCGTGTTTGAAGATTCACGACGTGTTCGAGGAGAGTAGAAAAAGAACATCCAGACTTAAAGACCAAAGAAATTACGAGGGAGTCCCTCAAGGAACGATCCTGGGTCTCCTAAAGTTCTGATCAGGTTCAAACTGACTGAGACAAAGGATCATAACTGGGTCTCATGTGGTGTCAGAACACAGCCGACACTCACCCAGGTGACCCGGTCGGACATATTCAGTTTGAAGAGAACATTAATTTACCCAGAATGCACAGCAAGGTAGCAGGAGTTCAGACAGAAAACAGTTTTATCAGACGCCACAACACTGCACAGAGGTTTATAAAACTCTGCGAAAGCAACTGGTTGCATTGATTGTGAGGTAAACAGTCGAAATACAGCATTCACGTTACATAAATGAATCCAACACTAAAGTACCAAAACCTACAGTTCCTCTACCGTCCACTAGAGGCCGGCTCCAGCAGTGAGTCAATCTCCATAAGGCCCCATACTTTCATTTTTTTAATATATATTTTTGCCTTTTTTGAAGAAGTTTAAAATAAATCAGTGTCACTTAAAATGACTAAAGCTATTTGATCAACAATATTTTTTTAACTTACAAAACTGAGTTGAGCGAATTAAGTCCAACAATTTTTTTAGTTAAATGAACTTATCTGGTTTTACAGTGAAAACAGGATTATATTCAGTATCAGAGAATTATTATTAATTATGACAAACACTCAGTTGGAGGACTACGTTTCATCTCTGTGTATATAAACCTGTGAGTCTGACAGCTTTCGGAGGGTTTTAAGTCTTTTAAAGTGTTTTGTGTCGTCAGTAGAAAGATGACCCGGTCGGATTTGAACCAAATCACCGTCTTTAATCTAATAATTTAATTTCATTTTAGCTCAAATAATTTAATTTCCCAAAATGTCGTAGTTTCCCTTCAAGATACAACTGAACTGAATCAACTTAAATTAAACACGGAAATAAAACCCAGGAGAAGAGTGTGTGTGTGTGTGTGTGTGTGTGTGTGTGTGTGTGTGTGTGTGTGTGTGTGTGAGATATGTTGACGGAGACAGGAAGTGAGTCTTCTCAAATCAGTGTTTACATTACAGATGACTGATGTTACGGCCCGCCCACCGCAACCTCTGACCCCTTCACACGCACACTCACACAGTTTCCTTGTGTTTACATTCACTCCTGCAGTCAGCAGTGAACTCCCTTAAACAATCTGCTGATTTTACATCCCTGTTCCTGCTGGTGGTTCACTGGCTGCGTACATTAGGGTTGGACGATGTGTTAAACATTTCCAACAAGATGTGAAAATATTCTGCCTCTCTGATGCCGCCGACCTCCCTGTTGTCAGAGTCAGAGTCCTGGTTGGAGCCTCTGTGAATCACCATAAAACTGTATCATCAAACTAGTGGAAATAAACTCTGTGACATGTGAAAATGTGAGCTGCAGACCATTAAATTAGCAAACAATCGCAGATATATTCACATTAGATTATTGATGTGCAGGGTTGCCACGGGTCTGGAAGGTACCAGAAGGATCTGTGAGACTATCAATGACAAAAAGAAATGGTCACATTGTCCCTGTAGGTGATTATTAATGCTAATTTTGCTAATTGTCAAACATATGCAAGTTAGTATCTGTCAGTTTCTAAATGCTGAAGACCCAAACTGTGTATTTCTGACAGAAAACTCAACATTTCTGGGCTCACAGTGAAGCTCTACTGCTCTAGTGGTAACTGTTGATATTTTTCTTACATCAAAACCAAAAATGTCTGAATTTGTAATCAAACAGCCACCAGATTTTACACACGGATTCCTTAAAGAAATAGCCGGTAATAGTTGGAGGATCTGTTTATTATCGGTTTTCATTTTATTATATTTTATATGAAGAAATGTTTTGTGTTTTTTCAGCACATTTCACATGTTCTCTAACTTTTAAAAACTTTAAAAACAGTATTTGGAACATTTACCAGCTAGTTATAAAGCCCAATAAAGTGAGAACTTTATATGTTGGGCCTAAAAATGGTTAATTAGCGCTTAGTTAACGAGACATCGCCTAATATTTTCATACTTCAATGATTAAAAACTACAAAAAAAGATTTTATTTGGGCCAAAACCTGTCTGTCCATACAATAGATGAATAAAGTAAAGACGTTATCAGGGTAACAACAGCAGGAACCGGCCAATCACATCCAATAATTGTCTGCTCTGATCTCGTCCCTCCTTTCTCACTGTTTTCTCCTTCTTCCTGGTGCACTCCTCCCTTCCTCCTCATCACACGTGACACCTCCTCCTCTTCCTCCTCCTGGCCGTGTTTCTGCAGCCTTATCTTGGGCGTTCTCTCTATTTTCTGCTTCGTTCCTTTTCTATGGTTATAATCAACAGATCTGCTGTGGCATTTTATTGTGTGTGTGTGTGTGTGTGTGTGAGCGGCAGAAACATTGTTCAGTCCTAAACTTTATCGCCACAAACCATACAACTTCCTGCACCCAGAGTGTATTGGTGTGTGTGTGTGTGTGTGTGTGATAATTGCAGTGTGTTCTGGTATGTTTCTGTGTGTGTGTGAATGCTAACTATGGAAGCCAATATAACAGCAGAGCAACTAAACAGCATGGTGGCTGTGTGTAATTACACATCATTACTGCTGTGTGTGTGTGTGTGTGTGTGTGTGTGTGTGTGTGTGTGTGTGTGTGTGTGTGTGTGTGTGTGTGTGTGATAGCAGTCCACTCTGCTCTGGTTTGGTGACAGGAAGTCACAGCTCGGAGGGAGAAAGTTGAGCCGAGACTCAAAAACACTTTTAGAAAATAAATCTAAGTCGACTCTCTTCACGGGAAAAAATCTGAGCAAACAACTTTTTAACTCAGTGGTTCCCAACCTGAGGGTCGGGACCCTCACTGGGGGTCACCAAAGCTTTGCTGGGGGTCGCGAGGGCTTCTTGATTTTAAGATGTGTAAGAAAACTTAAAAAATATACACAGTCGGTCGATATCTCAACATTTCATTCATTTCTGTGAAGAAAACTAAATTAAACTTTTATTTTCTAAGTTAAAATTTAAAATGTAGTAAAAAGTATGAAGAATTTTTTGTCTTTTAATGTTAAATTAAAGATATTTACACTGTTAAACCAATGCAATGCTCTATAAATCCAGGTGAACTCAGCTATAATACAATAATCAGACTTACATTTACAGCAGAGTGCTGTTATTATTGGATTGTTATTATTTTAATGTGAATGTTAAAAGTTATAGAAGTGTAATAAAAGTCATTATCTGTGAGATTACAGTAATTATTGCTGTTTACACTGATAACAACTGTATTTGGACAGTTTACCAATGCTTATACACTGATAAACAACATTTATTTAACCTTTCTGTTGGAAATGTTATTTACAGTTACAGATTATTCATGTTATTTTACATTAAACGCGTCAATTCGGAAACAATTTTGTAATTTTACTAATATTTCCATGTATAAATGGGTTTTTCTTACAGTGTGCCTTTATATTAGGGTGAATGCATAATATAAAGTTCGACTCTGGTGGGACTCGAACCCACAACCTTTGAATCACTTCTCTTGTGCTTGACTAGAAGTCCAATGCGCTATCCATTGCGCCACAGAGCCAGACGGGACATCTAGTCGCACCATGAGGTTCAGTAGATTGGCTGTTAGTTCACAGCTCGTTCAGCGATTGGCTGTTGGTTCACAGCTCGTTCAGCGATTGGCTGTTGGTTCACAGCTCGTTCAGCGATTGGCTGTTGGTCCCTGAATGTGACACTGACAACAACAACTGTTTGTAACTGTAAATATAAAATTGCTGCTTATTTAAAGAGATTTCTGTTCTTTCATGTTTTTCACATTTATTTTATATTTGATGTGTTTAATTAACATGACGTTATATTAATGTTTAATAATTATATTAATGTTTAATAAGCTGCAGACCACAATATTGACCATCAAATCGCTCTGAAAGTCTGTCACTCCGCCATCCACTGGAGTTAAAGCCAGACTATTGTTATGGATATTGGTGTCTTGTCAACTGCTTGATAATATCATTTTTAAATTTAACTAAAATATTAATTAATAAAGTTATTTAACACTGAACCCGCCATTAACAAGATAAACCAGCAATCTGTGTTGTTACTGTGGAATGAACAAAGTTAGAATAAGGCTGTTTATATATTCATACAATATAATATTAAAACATAAAACACTGTATTTCTGGAATATTTAGTCATTTTAATCTATTTCTATGACTTTAAAACTCGTCTACATTTCCAGGTTTAATCCCATTAAAGAGAGAAATGGCGACACTGTGAGCACAACCAAGCCCCGCCCCCTTTACCTGTGTTGCTAGGCGATCTCTGGCTGCCGCGCCGTGACCCCTCAGGCATGGTGCGATGATGTCACAGGAAGTAGAAACCTGGAGAAATGAAAAAAGAAAAACCCTCCAGTTAGCTTTGCAACATCCCGCTACAGCCGTTACTCTCTTTCTTCACAAAGAGGCTTCTCACACGGAGGTAAAGACGTCTTTGTTTAACAGCAGAGAAGAAGAAGAGGAGGAGGAGGAGGAGGAGGAGGAGAAAGAGGAGAAAGAGGAGAAAGAGGAGGAAGAGGAGGAGGTCCAAATAAAAGAAATCTCTCTCTTCTGGTGCAGAAAGAGTGAGGACATATGTAATGTTTGGCTGTGAGACAAGAATGTGGTCTCTTCTCTTAACTGTGTGTGTGTGTGTGTGTGTGGAGTGAGTGTGTGTGTGAGTGAGTGTGTGTGTGTGTGAGTGTGTGAGTGTGTGTGTGTGTGTGTGTGTGTGAGTGTGTGTGTGTGTGTGTGTGTGTGTGTGTGTGTGTGTGTGTGTGTGTGTGTGTGTGTGTGTGTGTGTGTCCACCGGAGGATAACGGCCTCCTACAAAGTCATTGATACAGTAACACAGATTGACCCAATTAGTCCGTCGTACATAACGAGTGTTTCTGCAGCTGCTCGGTGACGGAGAGATGTGGGTCAGGTTGGGGGGTGTAAGGGGAGTGTAAGGGGGGTGTAAGGGGGGTCGGGGGTGTCTGTAATGCAAGCCAGATGCAGAGCAGGTCTGCAGGTTGCAGGTTGAAATCCCCGTACTGCCTCTGTGGGAAACCTGGAGATTCAACTGATGAACTAGTAACTTCAATATCACCAGACTCCCTTTAAAAAACGCACAATTTTAAGAGCTGAGGAGAAGCTTTATAAACTTCGTGAAACTCTGTTTATGAAAACGTTTTAATAATTCCTCGACTTCTTTCAAATTCTGCATTAAATTAAATACATAAAGTTTTGTGTCAGCCTGTCGCTGTGTCGCCGTACCGGTCTTTCCCGCTAACATTAGGTAGGTAGTTGGTTGTAAAGGGAGGTGAACATGAGGCTCTGTGGCGCAATGGATAGCGCGTTGGACTTCTAGTATGCAGGAGGAGGAATTCAAAGGTTGTGGGTTCGAGTCCCACCAGAGTCGTACTTTAAACACTGGTTAAAATCAAAATAGACAAACAAACCACCTGTAGCTCACCAACTCAACAGCGGGAGGTGATAGCTACATCAAGCTGCTGTCAGTTTCACACTGATCTGAGCTCAGTGTACCCACACACGTGTGTACTTTACAGTGTAAACAATTAATTCGTTAAATTGGGGAATTATGGATGACTGTTTCCTCCAGACGTCAGATACAGAAGTTTGAATGTATTTTTATTTATCTGGTCGATTTGTGCTGACTTTGTCACGCTTTATGTGACCTCTGCTGTTTCAATTCAGTCTGCTAACGCCATGGGTTCACACTCGTGTATCGAGCATGGCATACTATATAAAATAAATAAATAGCTATGAATATTTTCACTTTCAGCTCTCTATGAATTACGTCTATGTGTAAAATATATTTACGGGGCTGAGATCCTCTGTCGACCTCTGTCGCACACAAACACCTTTACATTAATAAACGTCTGACTGTGATCGTCTGTGAGCTCTGGATACATTCATGTTGATGTGAGTGAGTCTCAGTGTCAGAGCTTAAAGAAGTGAATCAACTTCAATCAGTCAAACGTAATAAGTGTGTGTGTGTGTGTGTGTGTGTGTGTGTGTGTGTGTGTACCTCACCTGTTGAGGTGTTTCCAGGTGCATCCGTTTCAAACACACCTCATCACACACACACACACGCACTCACACACTCACACCCCAGTAAGCGGCGATGATGGCCACGTACCAACACTCTCACTTACATCACACATACAGCAGGTCAGTATGTGTGTGTGTGTGTGTGTGTGTGTGTGTGTGTTGTTGAAGTACTATCTCGTCGCCACGGCAACCTGACAAACTGTAGACAGACGTCAGCGACATTAAATTAAACAGAGCCGTCAAACCCGGTTCCTCAGCGCACAGAAACACTGATTGGTTCATATTTGGGCTCTTTTATATCACCAGACTCCCTTTGAAAATCACTCAGTTTTAATAGTTGTTGAATGAGGAGAAACTTTATAAACTTTATGAAACTCTGCCTGTTATTTATTTGGACCTTCTTACAAATTCAGCACAACGATACATTAATTTATTTATTTATTTGTGTAAATAACACCAAGTCCGTTTGTCCATTTCATACCCAAAGTGCTTCACAGTATCAGCATTATTCCCTGCAACCTAAATAAAGGGGGGATGTAAACAGGAAGTATAACTGGAGCTGAAACTTGATGCCTGTTCTTTTGGTCCGTATTTGTTTACATTGTCTCTATTAAAAAGCAGTCAGGCTTCCTTCAGGCCCTCCATACTGACATTTTTAGTAATCTTGTCGTATAAAGATCGACTCTGGTGGGACTCGAACCCACAACCTTTGAATCACTTCTCATGTGTTTATCTAGAAGTCCAATGCGCTATCCATTGCGCCACAGAGCCTCACAGAGAGACACGGTGCCACCACCATCAGATCAGACCCATAAATAGAAGAACGTCTCTACAACAGATGGTAATGGACGGTTCCTCGAACGGCAGAGAATATTTATAAGGACCGGACACAAAAGGAGTGATTGAAAGGTTTGAGTTCTCGGTTAAAAGGACTCTCTTGTTTCATGGAGAAATAAAATAATAACCCAATTAGAGCAATAATGAGGCTCAATTTCCATTTGAACGGAAACTGCTGACCATCAACAGAAACTCTTCCTGAGGTTTCTCTGATTGATTGACTCGATTTTAGAAACAAACAGAAGACTCTCTTTCTTCTATTTATCTGGTAATAATCAATATCATTACTGTATTGACAGTCAGACTGTGGACATATGACGGCCTTTAGCTCGTGTTTCTAGAGTTACGTGTTGTTACGAACACGTTAGGAATTGTTAAAATGTGATATTTCTTAAAGGGAGTTTGGTGCAGGGAGCTTTTAGTTGGATTCAAACTGCTGATATGGATCATTGTTAACGTTTAGTCTCCACTACAGAAACACTAGCTGACTGCTAAAGGCTGATCAGGTTGATAAATGCTTTAATAATGAGAGTATTGATTACTGATGCTGGCTGATCAGGATCATTATCAGCTGGTTGTACTCAGTTTATTCAACTTTTTAAATCACTTTTCCAACTAAGGAAGAGGCTCTGTGGCGCAATGGATAGCGCATTGGACTTCTAGACAAGAACATGACAAGTGATTCAAAGGTTGTGGGTTCGAGTCCCACCAGAGTCGAGCTTTATACAGGAAATTAAGCTAATACAGACGCTCAAATACACACACAATACAATTACTCCAAAACATTTCCACCTGATCCATGTCTGATTACTGACAGGTTAATGTAATTACAGTCTCCTGCGTCCTCTCTCATTTGTTGTGTTTGACACACAATGAAAAAGGAAAACAGAGCAAATAGAGATTGATGGCAGTAATTAAAGATTCTGATGACCAAATCTAACAGAATAATTACAATTATTCGTCATCCATAATGAGGTCTGCAGGCAACCGCTGCGTACTGTATGCTGTATATTATCTGTGTGTACATATTCCTATCAGGGTTTATATGAGATCACTGACTGAAACAGGCCGCCTGGGTTTAATCCAGTATTCTGGTTGTTTAACAGTTTAACACAATGCTGAACAGATATGGTTTGTATATGTGTCTCATTTTTACATTGATATTACATTGAGAGCGAGGTACAACCACAGTCAGCTGTGGCTCAGAGGCAGAGCCTCAATCGAAAGGTTGTGGGTTCGATCCCTGGTTCCTGGTGCCACGTGTCGAAGTATCCTTGAGCAAGATACTGAACTGTGTGAAAGGGTGAATGTGGCATGTAGTGGAAGACTAGAAAGGCGCTATACAAGTACAGGTCCATTTACCATTTACAGTGAAAATCCTTGTATGTGTTCACATACCTGCCAATAAAAGTGATTCTGATTAATAGTCAAAAGGGAGATCAGACACCGATAAAGGTTTAATCAGTCACCAATCAACATTGACTTGGCGCAACGCATAGCGCATTGGATCTGCAAGGAAGACATTCAAAGGTTGTGGGGTCGAGTCCCACCGGAGTCAATTATCTGTTGTCTAAGCTCCTAAAGCTGACACTGTGCAGAAACAACACATTTCAAATCGTAGCACAACGATGGAAACAGAAAGGCTGCTTTTGTTCTGTAAACGTTGTAAAGCCTTAAACATAGTTTCCCTTCAGAGGTTTCTTCACGTTCCCTTTTCCACCAAGGAAGTTTGAGGGCTTATCCGGTGCTGGTCAGAACTGGTTCCAGTAAGACAACATGTTCCTTTATTGATCCCCCTCAGGAGAACTTCAAACAGACACAGCATCAATAGGGCAATGTAGTGCAGGAGAAAGAGTACAGAAGTGGTACAGGGTTTGAAGGACATCAATTCAAGAGCTCCTCGTGCATGAAGATGGGACATTATGCAAAGTTGGACAAGAGACATTATGTCCTATACTAAAGGCAAGGTCCCACCGAGATTTGAACTCGGATTGCTGGATTCAGAGTCCAGAGTGCTGACCGTTACACCATGGGACCCTTACTATGGCACCAACAGCGCACTTACATCAGGCGTTGGGGGCCAGCCAGTGATGTGTTTATTAGTTGTTTAGCGAGCTACTTATTCCTCACTTCAATGATACAAACATAACACAGATGTTATGAGTGTAACATTAAGCATAGCTACCTATTTGTCCTATCGAAATGAGTAGCTGTGTTTAATGTTAGCTCACCAACAGCCAGCGAGTTAGGCAGCTAATCTTGGTAACAATCACTAATGTTGGAGACGTATACCAGACCAGAACACGCACTCTGTTTGTGTGTAACAGGGGTTTGAAAGGAAGGTCTGAACCAGGTCATGAAACGCTGATCCTGCACACTGAATGGGTTTTTATCTTTAGCATTTTGCTAGCTCGCCATTGGGTTCTGAATTATTTTCATGCTGTATTCAGATA